CCCCACGAGCACAGATTGCTTGCGTCTGTGGACAGCACTATTCTAGCCTCTGCTTTTACATTTCGACTTCAATTCCATTGTGGTCTCAGTACACACCTTACGTGGTGTTAAGTCCCTTCACATTTATTGAGACTCATTTTACGTTTGTGGTCCAGAACATGGCCTGTCATGGAAAATGGTCCACATTCTGCTGTGGGGGGATGTTTCATCACCTATTAGGTCAAACTGGCAGATACGGTCACATCTTTCTTATTTCCTGTCTGCTTGTTCCGCTGATATCTGAGCGAGGGGTGTTGCAATCTCTGACTATTAATTGTAGATTTGTCTACTTCTGCATTGCGATGTTATCAGTTTTGCTTCATTTATTTTGAAAGTCCGTTATTAGGCACAATGTTTAGAGTGTTATGGCCATTTGCTGAGTCGAACCCCTTCACATTATGAAGTGGGTTCCGTGTCTCCGGTAACGTTCTTGCCCTGAAACCTGCTCTGCCTGATGTCAATGTGACCACTGCGGCTACCTTTCGGTGAGTGTCAGCCTAGTGTGTGCTCTTCCAGCCTTTCAATTCTAGCTTATCCATGTCTTTCTGTTTCAAGTGGCTTTCTCACAGGCAGCAAGTAGGTGGGTCTGACGAATCCTTTTAATTGGGCAGCCAGGCCATTTTGATTTCGTGTGATTATTAGTAGGATTAGGTTTTGGTCTGCTTTCTATTTGTCCCATCTGTTCCTTATGTTCTTTCCCCTTTTTCTGCTTTCTTGTGGAACAAATGAACAATTTTTATGATTTCCTTTTATCTCCATTCTTGGGTTATTAGGTACACCTCTATGTTCTGTCATTTTGTGGTCGTTTCAGTGTTTATAGCACATCACACCCCTTCACACGGAACATGAAAACCCTTTATGCTACTGCCGCCATACACTTCGTTTTCACATCTGTTGTAAACCCTATGAGACATTTATTTTTGTTTAAACCACCAATTTTCTTCCAAAGAGACTTAAATATTAAGAGAATTCTCCTAAGTCTGCCCAGGTGGTTTACTTTTGATGCTCTGGGGTCGTTTGTATGATGTCCCCATCCGGTACTGCCCTCGCCTGTGCCTAAGCAGCGCCTGCACTGAGGCTGCTCCAGACGCTTTTTTCCAGCTCTTGAGCATTTGGGGGAAACTTCGACCCACCTTCATCCTGGGGAGAGATTTTTGCTGCGTACAGAGATCTAGATGGACGGGTCTGTTGGTGCTTTACAGACGTTGCTTCACTGTCGTCCTGTTGCTCTGTACATGTTGTCTGATTTTAAGAACTTTTAGTCATGTCACTGGTTTTAAACACTTCGGTTACGATGTGCCCTGGTCTAGTTTTATTCCATCAGAGTTCCTGTGCTTGGGGCTCACTGAGCGTCTTGCTCTATCGGTGGACAGCTACTGTTATTAAATCTGGGGAAATTTCGGCCATTATTCCTTCCAGTGCTTCTCTGTGAACCGCTGTTTGCCCTTGCCTTCCGGATTCCCAACCACCCTACGTCCGTGCACCAGAAGTTGCTCATCTCACCGACGCTCTGTTAATTCCAACTTCTGCTTTCTTTTCTTTCTTTTCTTTTTAATAATTCCAATTGCTGTGTCTTCACATTCTCCAATCTTCTGCAGTCTGTGCCCTTTATCTCATCCGTGTCTTCATCTCACACACTGGTTTCCACCCTTAAACGTTCAGTTTTGCTTTTCTCTTCTCTTTGTCTCCTTCGCTGTCTGAACGTGTGGAATACAGTTGTGATAATAGTTTTAATGTCCCGACTTCCAAGTCAGTTCCTGGTTGGTTCTGATTGGATGATTACTCTCCTTATCACAAGTTATGATTTCCTGCCTTTTTGCATCCTGATCATTTCTGATTGGCTGCGAGACGCGATGCATTTCATCTTGTTCGGTGCTGGAGTTCTTTACGTTCCTGTAAGTTTCTGAGCTTTGCCCTGGACAGGCATTTAGAAACAGTGGGACTTTTTGGGGTCGTGGGGCAGTCCCCATCCCGGGCTGTTGTTCGCTGTCTGTGCCCGGTGCCCGCGACCACAAGGTGCGGGCAGGTTTCGGGTCCAGCCCTGAGTGAGCGCCGGGCACTGCTTCTTACTGCCCTTCCACTGATGCCTCCTGGCTGCAGACAGTGTCCTCCCAGGAACGTGCTGCTCAGTCCCCAGGCAGGCACCGTGGGCCCCCCAGCACTCGCCTCGCTGGCCCTCTGTCCTGCCAAGTGCAGCCGCCTCGCTCTCCCTGGGCCCCCTTGATTCAGGCAGTCGCCAGCCTCCCCCGGGTCTCCCCATGTGGCCGCAGGCAGTGTGGACAGCGTGGGTCGCCTCTGCTCACAGATGGCTGTCCGCTTTTGTTGACCGCTTTTGTTGACATTGTTTGGGGTGCTTTTTGGTTCTTTCAGGTGGGAGGAGAGAGTGAGCAGAGTGCCCCAGGCTCCAGGATACGTACTTACATCTCGAGGGGACAGGAGGCCCTGGACGCTGTGGAACAGCTCTTCCACCTCAGCCACGGCTCTCTGGGCCAGGCTGCAGGCCTCCAGGTAACACGCCGTCCTCTGCTCCTCATCCGGCTCACTTCGGGCACATAACCTTCACGAGACCGAGAGCGGAGTCACCACAAAATGTCGACGCATCAGTCATCAGCGCTAACAGGATGTGCAGAGTGCAGTCTCTGACTAGACTGTGTTGCCAGCACTTAAAGGTTTCCCCTCAGAGTGTTACACGCACAGAGCACCTCAGCGCACCCCTACGCAGAGAGGCACACACCCCGCACTGTCTTCATGGACACTGAGCCTGGCCTCACAGGCATGTGACCAGCTGACACCACGCACCAGCCAGCCGCCCCCACCCCACCTTCCTGTGGGGTGCTTCTCTGCGTTTCCAAGCCCTACACCGACTGCACTCCATTCCACCACCGCTCCGTGACTGAGGTAACATTTCCTAAGTGCCCACGTCACTTTCCCTCATGATTGCTGGTTTAAATATCTTACATGTGATTGGCTTGTTGTGCTGTGAAATGTTGTGTCACCTGGCACATGGGTGACCCAGGGTGAGGCTCTGCAGGGCTGGGCAGGGGCAGCCCAGGGCACAGGGGTCAGGCCAGCCCCTGCCCTGGTGACCCCAGAGCCGGTGTGAGTAGTGCAGGGGTGACATGCTGTGTATGAACATGTGTACATGAGTGGGGTAGTGTGCCCATGTGACACGTGTCTGCACGTGTGAGTGTGGCAGTGTGGTGCGTGCGTGTGTGTGGACACTGTGGGTGGCACGTGTGCTGTGACCATGTGTGGTGGCTGATGGCTGTGCATGTGAGGACAGTGGCCAGCGCTGTGTGTCTGAGGTGGGGCCATGGGGCTGAGCAGGTGGGAAACCGAGGTGGCAGGACAGAAGCAAGGACACTGTGATGGGCTGCACTTGATGGACACCCCAAGTGCACTGTCTCCAAGGGAGGGGCAGGTGGCCACAGGGCGGGGGCCAGGAGAAGGCGTTTGGGGCCCGGTGGGGAGGAAAGGTGGCACGTGGGGGGTTGAGCGGGGGAGGGCCTGGCTGACGAGGACTGCGCTGACACAGAGCATGGAGTACACGTCCCCAGAAGGGACAGCAGCACAGTCCCAGGTGCGTCTGCAGCAAGGCCCGCTCACCTCTTGATATTCGCACGTTCCAGTTTGATAGCCGCACAGTTCTCTTTGTAGCCACAGCTGATAAACTTTCTCTCAATTTCTACCAAGCAGCCATCCATCTCGGTTAGCAGGACCCGGCACCGGGGAGCCTCCCCGGCCGCGGACTCGCGAGCTGCCTGGATCCGGAGGCTCACGCACCTGCCGGGCGGGGGCTCCACGTTAGATTCCGCCAAACACACGACGATGTGACAAGACCAGAAACTCGAGGACGACATCGACCGTCCATGCGGTACCACCAGTGCCTCTCGCTTTCATCCACGATCCCGGAAGGAACACCTGCAGGAGTTTCTCAAAAACCAAACTCCCACCAGCCACGTTTCTCCAAACACACAGGACAGTTAGAAAGCAGCCCCCACCCCAGGTGTCCATCATATGTGAGTTCAAAACCACGCTCCCAAACAACTGGGGGCAGAAAAGAGCCCCGTGGGAACGGCCGTCCGTCCCGTGTCAGACAGGGAGCTGCCCTGGAGCTCAGAGGTGCCACTGGCAGCAGAGGTGGTGGGAAGGTGTGGACGAAGTGACGAACACGGAGGTGGGAACAGAACAGCACCAACAGCCCCTCGGCAGCACGGAAAGGAGAGCATGACAAGGAAGCAGCAGAAATAAATCCAAAATGAAACAAATCCCGTTGCTTCGGCCAATAAAGCACAAGCTGCTTCTTGGAAAAGGTTGCGGAATGGGGGTCTCGACCGAGAAGAGCTGGCAGAGACACGACAATGAGGGGACAGACCTCGGACGCAGCCTCTGTAAAAGCTACAGGAATCTGGTGGTGGGCGTTCATACCGACACAGCCAAAGCCCCAAGGAACATGTGTAGAGAACACAATTCGCCAGAAAGATGGCTCAAAAATAAGCCGAAAATCTGAAAGACTAGCAACCGTGAAAGAACTGCCGCTCCTGGAAGTCCTGCCCAGATTGGGGGGGCGGGGGGTGCTGCCCCAGGAACAGACCCGTCGGAAAGCAGAGAGGCAGAAGACACGCGAGCACCTGACGCAGCTTCAATCTGTTGCGGGGCGAGAGGAGGGCACCACCCCAACGGCCTGCAAACCTGCTCACCTGTGCACCTGCTCGCCTGCACGGTGGTGCCTGTCCCCTCAGCCCGAGAGGGGCCCACAGAAACCCCACACGCTGCTCAGTGAGAAACGAGGAGCGCTCCCTGAGAACTTAGGGACATGACGAGGCCGCCTGCGTCCCAGCCCCAAGAAAAGGCACACTGGGAAGGAAGTGACACTGCCCCCAGGAGCCCCCAGCCCGACGTGAGACTCAGAGTGACCTCCCCAAAGCCACCTTCGTGGCTGTGACAGACGCTCTGCTTCTCAGAGAAGGCTGGGAGAAGGGTGTGGCTGTATGGCCCTCGTTATGTGAGTCTCCGACCGGAGGAAACAAAACCACTGCTCTTGTGGTAATTAACAGTTTTTCTTACAAAAATTACCTGGCTTCTAGATCCGTGGTCATGAATTCCAGCATGGGTGCTCGGTTTGGTCTTTCTTTCTGGAGAACCGTGAAGGTCTCGATGAGCTTTTGGAAGAGCTGGCAGACCTGAGAACGGCCCACTGATGTGAGCGGGAGCCCAGCCTCAGGCCCCTCTCCCGGCCGGGCATGTGGCCACACCGTCCTCACCACTTCTCTCCCCTGGCTCTCCGTAGACAAGAGGGCCTCTCCCAGGGTCAGCGTGGAGCTGTACCAAAACTCCTCGCCGCCCCCCAGCCGCTGGGCCCGCTCAGCCAGCTTCCTGGCTAGTCCGCAGTTCTTCTCCTTGTTGGCCAGTTGTGCTAGAAGGAGCAGGCACTTGGCTTCTGCACAAGGATCGTCAAGCTCCTAAAAGAGATGTGCATGTGTGAGGGCGGGGTGGGGCAGAGGGGAGAAGAGACAGACAGAGAGGCAGAGATGGGGAGACAGAGCAACTGAGAGGGGCCGCGAGTGTGGCTGCTCCAGGCGCAGGCCTTACCATGCCCATGCCTACCCACCAGGCTCCCCTCTGAGGTGAAGAGGCCTCCACGTTCGCCCCAGGGCACAGGGCCCGCTTGCGGCCCCCAGGGCCCTGGACAGTGGTGAGAGCCCGGGGAGGCCCCTCCCCTCAGCCGTTGGCTCAGGCACTGGCCCGCCCTCCGGGGACACAAGCCACAGGCCCCCGCTAGGCTTCAGCCCAGCCTGGGAGCCCCCGTCCGGATGCTGGTCCAGGGCAAAGGGGCAGGTCTGGGTGACGGGCCACGCATCCGTATCTACTAGGCCGTCTGTGTCCCCCACTCACTGCACACAGTCAGAGGAGGCCTGGGGGTGAGAGGGTGCAGTGGGGGCCTTGCTGGCCTCTGAACTGAGCCCCAGCAGGAGGACTTTGGGGCAGGAAGAGCGGAAGTCCAATGTGGCTGCGTCCAGAGAAAGTGGCCAGCATGCAGCCCAAAGAGGCTGAAAGGGGGGGCGTGCGCGCTCGTCTCAAGAGCCAGGGCCCCAGGGGAGCCACGTGTGCAGGCTCAGCTGCAGCTGCTGTGGGACAACAGCCAGAGCGAGGAGAGCGAAGGTGCGCATGGAGGCCGGACACCCGCGGGGACAGTGGGACAGCGCCGGCAGCTGGCGGACGGAGCTGGAGGGACAGGCTGACGGCTAGGTTGCTGGGGTAACAGTGTGTGGGCGCAGGTAGCCACTTCTCCAGGAGTGGATGGACAGAGGGACAGTCCCTGCAGACACCTGTCCCCGTTACCTGAGACCTGACACACCTGTCCACACTGCCTGAGACCTGCACACACCTGTCCCCGTTACCTGAGACCTGACACACCTGTCCATACTGCCCGAGACCTGCACACACTTGTCCCCATTACCTGAGACCTGACACACACCTGTCTCCATTACCTGAGACTTGAAACACCTGTCCCCATTACCTGAGACCTGACACACCTGTCCACACTGCCTGAGACAAGATCGGAACCCCCTAGGCTTGTTGGTGCCACTGAGTTTTTATACCAATTTATCAGGAAACTGTCTCTCTCTGGAGTTCTTCAAAACAAGTGACAGCCTGTCTGGTCTGCAGCTTTGCCCCCCCCATCCCCCCCCACCCCAGGGAACAGGAGTCTGCGTGCTGGACAGAGAGAAGCACCCATCTGCCGGCCTGAGAGGGGCTGAGCTGGCAGGGACAGGAGCTGCAATCCTTGGGAGGCGACGCACATACGGGGGCTCCACTCGGTGCTGGATTTTTCCCGAGGGCGTCCGTCCTCATGGGGACACAGCCCAGGAGGAAAGCAACAGCCCCCCTGGGAGAGGAAGCTGGAGCCTGGGCCCCTGGAAGGGCCAATCCGGCGGGGAGAGGGCATCCCAAAGACCTGTGCTTCACAGCAGAGTGGGCTCAAGAAGCTGGCAGACAGCAGCAGCCGGGCTGGAACGCTAGCTTCCCGGGGGGCAGGGTGAGCCCCAGGCTGCCAGCGAGACCCTGCAAGGCCCACTGACGAGCGAGAACAGGCTCGCGGGTCGGGGGCGCTAGGGCACCGTCTGCCCCTGGAGGCGGGAGCCCAGGGCCTCTCCAGGGTCCCACCCTGCACACAGCCATTGGGAGGCTGCTGGGGGCCCAGTCAGCTCTGGTTCGTGAGTGCAAGACAGTAGGAAAGGCAGGACAGAGGGCATGGGGGCTTTCCACGGACAGCGGGCTCTGCAAACGACAAACACAGTTCTAGGACCGAACAGTGTCCTGAAGCTGCTCCAGGACAGACAGACCCGGCTCCAGGCACAGGCAGGCTCAGCCGGCCCCGGCAGGCGCGGCCCTTACCTGGAAGGCCTGGCACGCCTCCGACAGGAGCAGCCTCGCCGGCTGGTACTGCTCCATGTCCAGCAGCACCTCTGCTTTGAGGGTCCACAGCTGGGGAAACGATGTACCAGCCAGGTCTCTCCCAGTCGCTTGGTTTATCTTCAAAACCTGTAGGGCAGCGCAGGGCTGCACGCCTGACGCCTGTGCCGGCGGCTCCACCCCGGCCAGCGCTGTGCTGCGAGGCTCCCCCGGGCCATGTCCACACGTGTGGCCCAGCTCAGCGTTCCTCCTGTGACACTGTCTCTTCTCACCAACCAAGCCCAGCAGCGGCTGCGCCCGGTGGTCCCTGGGGCCTCCCCACTCCCTCCCGTGCTCCCAGCTCGGGGTCCGCTCCTGGACCAGGCAGCACCTGGGGACAGGTCAGAGCTCTTGCAATTCAGCCAGACGCACGAGGGGCACTTGGCAGTCCTGGGTGCAGGTGGCACATGGAGCGGCCCCAGACCCTGGCTGGGGTCATGCTGACTGTGGGGCTCTGCCGTGGGGCCGAGTGCTCCCTGGCTGCAGAGCATGGCGGCTGGGGAGCCCACCTTGTGGCAGGGAGGGCTGGGGAGTGGCCAGACCTACAGGCATGCTCTCTGGCTGCAAGGGGCCTCCCCTTCCCCGCCACACGGTCTGCCTCCTGGGGACCCCACTGTGCCCCCAGCCTGTCTTCTCTGAATCTCTGAGCGGCCCTGGGCAGGCCCCGTGTAGGGTGGCCTGCGGTCTGGTCTTCCCAGGGACTTCCAGAGCCCTGAGTTCAGGGACGCGACCAGGCCCTGGATTTCCCAGGAAACCTGACACAGCAGGCAGTTAAGATGCGCCTGGCTCCCCAGCCCCAGCGCCACTGCCCGGCCCTCCTGACGCTGAGACCGAGGTGCTTCTGGCAAACCAGCGGTACCTTGTCTTTCGCCACCAGGACCTGCATCTCTGCCGGCTGGACGGCAGTCACAAGCTCATTCAGTGTCGGCAGGCTTTCTTCTAACCGTGGTTCCCTATTCTTCTCCTTTTTCAAGGCAATTTCTTTTCTGCAGCTAATGTAAGTAAAACGAATATGCTGAAGAAGAAATACAGTGTCCAGGAAGTACACGGAAGTGTCCAATTTCATCAGTAATCGGAGAACTGCAGTTCAAACAGCTGCGCGAGGCCGCTGCACCCCACCCCACCTCACGTGTTGACAAAGATGAAAACAGCAGCACCAGGACTCCCACGGTCACTCTTCTCGTCCACTCTCCCCCCAAACTCCAGACTCTCGCATGCGACTCTGGGTTTGCTATCTTGACCTGAAAGCTTCACATGCTTCTGTCCAGAACTCCGCCCCATCCAGAGACGGAGGCGCCTGCCACAGCTCCGCTCCTGTGGGACCCGCCTCCCTCCGTCTTCATGTGCCCGTTTCCCTCACCTCACCGCTCCATCCACCCCTGCAAATTCTACGTCCTGTCTCCCTTCCACTCGCTCAGCCCAGCCTGGAGATGCCGCCCAGCAGGAGGGTCAGTAAGTAAGTAACTGCACCCCCGGGCACAGCCCCCTGGGCCAAGGGCTCTCCCAACACCCCACTGTCCAGCCAAGGTGAGAGGTGGGGGCCTGGGGCTTGGAGGGGACGCGGCCGAGAGCAGGGCCAGGTGGCCACTTGCTCGGGGAGTCCGCGGCCGCCGCACCTCGCCTGCTCCGTGTCACCGATGTAGGCTTGTCCGACCACTTCTTCATGGAGAGCAGCTGCTTCTCTCAGCCCCAAGTCGGAACAAAGCAGGGCAAGTCTGGGGGAGACAGGGGGCTAAGGCTGCCACACAGGCCGCTGGGCTTCGCGCACTGGGCAAAACGTGGTCAACGAAGAAAGACATGCATAATTTGATGATATTTTCAATAGTTTTTAAAGCTAGGCAAAACTACTAGGGAAAAATATTAGGTGGCCTTATCAAATTTCTGGGAGACAAAAACGAGCATTTGCTCAGGTATCTGCCTCATGCACGTTCTTAACCTCAGGGTCCCCGTGAAGGTCGAGACGGCAGGTGGGCTCTGACCGCCCATCACTTGTCGGCACCAAAGCCACGCTATGATTCTTGCGTGGAATGATTCAAAACGTACATTGGTACAGCTGACAACAGCATGACATCAGCTTCAGGGCACAGCACGGCGAGGGGCATCTCTGTGCCCCCCCCCCGAGTGACCACCTCGCCACGTCTCAGGCCCTCTGCCGCCTGACTGCCCTGCGCTGCTCATTCGGGAAGGGCTGCAAGCTTGCAGAAAAGCCGCACAAACACGTCCCAGCCTTCACGCTCCCTGAGATGAGGCAGGCCCACTGACCGGAGGTGGTAGAGGTCTTCCAGGCTCTTGCTGCCTACCACAGAGGCGGAGATCAGCACAGCTAGCTGCAGCACCGAGACCGCGAGCTCGTGAAGGGACAGCTTCTGCAGGCACCTGACCAGCTGGTCCAGGAAATACAGGCTGTACGTCTGCAAACACACAGCAGGCGCCGCGGTCACTGGAGGAAGGGCGGGCCCTTCCGAGACCTCCCTTCAGGGCCAAGCACAGAGCCTGGCACACAGGAGGTGTTCAGCGCCTGTCGAATGAATGAATGAATGAACGAATGAATGAATGATGTGCCTCTTCCTTCCTTTCAGGAATGCCTTGCGTTTGTCCTCTGCAACTACCTGTAAGCGCCAGCACTCCAGTATAAAGATTCTACGAGAAACACTCCATTTATGCAGTTAGTCAATGTTTTTGTTTCACTTTCCCACTAAAAACAACTGATCCATTAAAAAAAGAATTTATGTATACACACAACTTCTTTAAAATTTAATATAGAGTAGAACTAATACTTCTTATAATGTCGGGCTAGGTTTGATAAAATATTTATTCTTCAGTGAAAAATTAGAAAAGTTGGATAACTACTTTTAAAATCTGCTTTAAAGCACTGAGCCACATACTAAACCTGAGGAGCTCAGGGGAGGCCCTACAAACTCAGACACTGAAAGTAACCACACAGGGTGGTCTGAACGTAAAACTTCCTGACTAAAAGTGAGTCATGGCGGTGGTCACGTCCTGGGCCTGTAGCTTCCTTGACGAAGGTCAGTCTTTACCTTTGAAACTGTCTGTTGTCTCTATGCATCTGAGGTAACAGACCCTTGGAATGTCAGTCATGTCTTTTTCCAGCCCCTCGGGGCACAGCCGCTGAGACCACAGAACCCCTCACTGTTATCTCGTTCCCGGAAACCATCTCTGTGTGCTTAAATGTTAATTACTAACTTTGCTGCACCCACCCACGTAAAATGTACGAGTCTCTCCATTTTACTTTTTATCCCACCCCAGAGATTCCCCCGCTTTTCTTTCTCCCGCCCCCTTCACCCCCCACCCATGGGTTTCCTTTTTTTTAAAGATTGTGTTGGGGAGTTGGGAGGGGAACAGCATTGGGGAATTGGGGGAGGGGAACAGACAAGTTGCTGTCCTTTTGTTCTTCAGTCTAGTTGTGGAGGACATCACTTCACTGGCCCATGTTGGTATTATCATTGCGCTCTTCCCGGACGAGGCAGGTCAGTCGCCTGCCACTGGACGGCCGCTCACAGCGGCTGTTGGCCGCTCACGCCGGCTGCCAGCCACTCACAATAGCTTATGGCAGCCCACTGCAGCCTACACCATTGCCGGCAACTCACAGCAGCCCAGCACTAGATCAAGCTGTTGTTCACCATCTTAGCTGTAGAGGGCGCAGTGTCACTGGCCCTCATGTGGGATCCGAACCGGGGCCCTGCTGCTCAGAGCTGGCGTCCCAGGCCAACTCTGAACCAATGAGCCACTCGGTCGGCCCTCCACCCATGGATTTCATGTAAACCCCACACACACACATGTCTCCTCTTTGACTCTAATGTGTAAAATAAGCTACGAAATGGCCATTCTCTGGAGCATTTTCTCAATCCATTGAGATTTTGCTTCCTGGCAGTGTCATCAGTTTGGATCAAATAAACTCATGAAACTCTCTACAGTTTGGATGTTTCTTGTCAACAGCTGTGAAGACACCCTTCGGGCCAAGGTTCCACTGAGAAACAAGGCAGCTGCCCAGGGACCTGAGCCGGGAGGCATCTGGGTGGCCTGGAAAAAGATTAATAATTTTTGTCCCATTAAAACTAGGCATCTCCTGGTGAGGGGGTAGATGGCTCAGCTGGTGAGAGCACGTGTTCTCACAACAAGGTTGCCGGTTCAACTCCCACATGGGATGGTGGGCTGCGCCCCCCGCAACTACATTGAAAGTGGCTACTGGACTTGGAGCCGAGCTGCGTCCTCCACAACTAAGATTGAAGGACAACAACTTGAGCTGGAGCTGATGGGTCCTGGAAAAACACACTGTTCCCCAATAAAAGTTATAAACTAACAAATTAATTAATTAATTAATTTAAAAATATGCATGCCTAGGTTTAAAAAAAAAAACAAAAAACTAGGCGTCTCTGTTTGTGAGAAGACCGCAGAACGTCAAGGCACAGAGTGGGTGGAGATCTATCATCAACTGTCAAAGTGTTTCCAGAATCAAGAGTTTTCTCCACCAACACGGAGAAGACAAAGCTACACAGCCCATGGGCTCTGGGCTGGGCAGGCAGTCGCAAGAGGACATCCACATGACACCAGGCACTGAGGTGTCCAACCTCCAGTCCAGCTGAGCCTCAGTGAGACGTCACCACACGGCCACCACATGTCCAATGTCAAGGCGAACCCCATGGGTCCGGCGAGGACGTGGCCGTGGGCACTTTGCCCACTGAGGTGGCAGGAACCTGACAGCACCTTCCACACATCACAGCTGGAGACCCACAAATTCCCAGATGGGCGTGTCCTCCAGACACGTGTGCACACGGGTTCCCCCAGCCGCCTCACCTGTGACCCCACAACTGGGAACACCCAAAGCCCCTCAACAGCTGGACGGAGAGACCGACCATGGTCTAGTCGGGCAGCGGGCAGCTCTACAGCAGTGACCGCAAACAAGCAACAGCCACACATGAGCACGGAGGATGGCCACCATCGTGGCCCCGAGTGAGGGAGCCAGCACACAAGGCCGTGCGCGGAAGGTCCCGTTTCCTAGAGCAAGGGCAGAGTGTGGAGGGCTGAGTGACAGCTCCACTGCGGGCCTGGGTGCTGCCCCAGCACTGGGAGTGTGGCCTCACGTGGCAGGAGGGGCTCTGCAGGTGCAACTGGGGTAAGGACCCTGAGCCGGGGGGAGCACCCTGGGTGGCCCAGGCAGCCCTAAATGTAATCCCGTGGGTCCTTAGAAGAGGGAGGCAGAGGGACACGGAGGAGGAAGAAGGGGCCACGTGATGACAGGGGTGATGCGGCCACAGCCCAGGAGCGCCTGGAGCCCCAGGAGCTGGAAGAGGCAGAAAGGAGCCTCCCCTGGAGCCTCAGGGGGACCACGGCCCTGCAACACCTGGATTTCGGCACAGTGACACTGATTTTGAATTTCTGGCTGTGAGAGAATATTCTGCTATTTTAACCACACAGTTTGTGGTACCGTATTTGCCGGCGTATAAGACGACTCGGCGTATAAGACGACCCCCTAACATTTCCACTCAAAATACAGAGTTTGTTATATGGTCGGCTGTGTGCGATTTTGCGAGTGTGGTAAAATCGCATAACAGCAAAATCGCATAACAGCCGAGCATACACCCAGCAGCGCTGCTGATGCCTGAACGGTATGTGGAATGAAGTGGGCGGGCATCGGGAGGCCACTATGGCACGGGGCAAGCACTATGGGCAGTCTATCTGAAGTGTACCTGGCGTATAAGACGACCCCCCACTTGGAGGCATATTTTTCAGCACCAAAAAATCGTCTTATACGCCGGCAAATACGGTAACTTGTTATAGTAGCCACAGGACAGAGCAGCCAACTAAACTTTCATGCTTCGGGCTGTCACTCGGGTGGCGAGCTCCTGGGGAGGAGAGGGCGTGTTTCCTCCGTTTCCCCCAGAGGTTGGCTGTTGTTGGGGAGAGAGTGTGGCTGGGGGGCTGGGAGGGGCTTGTGGGGGTCCTGGGGCTGATGGGGCCCTGCCTCCACCTGGGCGGTGGCCCACAGGTGTTCCCTTTTTAACACTTAGCAAGCTAAGCCCGTTTTCGGGCTTCTCTTTATGGGATTTTTCACAACAGGACACAGTGGCTGTGGCTACAGTGGAGGAGACAGGGCACCGGTGGCCGTGCGTCACCAAGGCCGGGGACCATCCCTGTAAGGGACTCACCGGCCACTGGATGCTGGATGGGTTGATGGTGAACTCACTCGTGTCTTGTCTGAAGACAGCCATCACCTCTTCCGGGCAGGAATAGGAAGCCCACTCTTCCACGCTGGCTGGTAAAGCCCCTCGTTCTGTGCTGGGAACCGGGGCCGGACACTGAAAAGCAGGGTCGTGGCTTCGCTTTAGAAAGCGGGGTTGCAAGGGCACAGGTGGTGCGTGGGTGGCAACGCCTCTGCGCTCTCCCCAGGGCCCTGCGGCACATGGCGCCTTCCCTGTGACCCAGACCTGGGGCCACGTCCATCTCTGACCTCGCTTCCGAGGGGGCACAGACAGACTGACACTTCAGCCCCTGCACAGCTAGTCCCCGGGGGCGCCCCAGCCCGGCCCCGCCCAGCACATGTCCGCCCTCAGTGAACACTGGGCGCCAAGCCGGGGTCAGTCCGCGTTCTGGAGGGCCACGCAGACCGGGGGGCACAGCCATGTGACACGCGAAGGCCTCAGGGGCGAGGGCGGGTGTGCAGGACAGACTCCACGCGACGCAGACACCCACGGCTCCGGACGGAGAGCAGCCCCTCCGGTCCCCACGCCCAGGGCCCAGGTGTGCCTGGGGCGGCGGGCAGGCGGTTGGTGACTTGCTGTGACATGGGGTAACCGCCAGACACCCCGTTCCCCTGCTACCAACTGTGTGTGAGCGTGTGTGAGCGTGTGCAAGTGTGTGCGTGTGGGAGCGTGTGTGCGTGTGTGTGAGCGTGAGCGAGTGTGAGTGTGCGTGTGTGTGTGTGTGAGCGTGTGTGTGAGTGTTGGGGGCGGGGACAGAGACGCACTTCCCAGAGGAGCGGGTGAGCAGAGGCCCCACCCCCGCGGCCCCGCCCCCAGGGCCCCACCGCTCCCGGGGGCAGTGAGCACCTGCTTCGAGTCTTTGCTCTTCTCTCTGGCCTTGCCCTTGCCTCTCTCCTTTTCTTTTTTAGGCAACAATAAATTCGAACTAGCTGCTGCTGGAATTCTACTTTCTGAAATGGATTTTCTTGCTGTTACTAAAGAAACCTGGGAAAAACGAAATAAAAATTTGCAACATTAAGTAAACAGACGTGCATCCCCACCTTCCTGCCTCACGCTTGGCTTTGAGGGGCGGGTCAGTGACCCCAGGACTCAGAGTGGCAACCTCGTGCCATCCGTCTGCCGAGGCCAAGCCGGGAAGCCAGCCGAGCAGAGGTGGCTGCAGCGTCCCCGGGCGGCAGGACACCTGGTGGCAGCCCTGTCCTCTGCACACGGGGCTTCCCCTTCCTCGGACCCGCAGGGGCACAAGGAGGGCTGACGCTCACGGAGGCCTTGCAGAGTGAGTGCGTCTGTGGCCTCTACTAAAGAACGCGTTTGGCTGACTTCAGCAGTCCTCCTGAAGGATCTGTTCTTCCTGCTGCGGGGGGTGGGGGGTGGTAGACGCTTTCCCTCAGAAGAAAGGCCTGTGACAGACACTGTCCTACTGGGGACACTGCCCACAGCAAGAACAAGAGGCCACCAAGAGCTTCCCAGCGGGGCCGGTGAAGAGGTGGTGGGGAAGGGGACAGCGAGGAAGCCATGCCGGGGGCGGGCGTGTAGGGCCAGGGGCAACGCGGGCTTGGTGGAAGGGCTCTGAGGGTTGATTTTCGGAGTGTGGGGTGGGGGGAGAAGATTATGAAAGCCCGGAAGCAGGGCTGCCAGCGGTCAGGAAGACAGGTCTTTGGCCGAGGGTCCATACCACACAGCAGCGCAGGCGACCTTGGCGGGTGGTTCAGGGGTGGGCTTCAGAGAGCAGGGGCGCTGGAGGGGGCGGCACAGGGAGGTGGCAGGGGCGGGCCTTGCTGATGGGAATCAGGTGAGAGGCACTGCTCGGTTTTGGAAGCCTTCTATCTGGACGCAGTGACACTGAGCCCAGAGTGTGGCCCTGGGAAGAGCTGAGGTCCTGGGAGGGGCCGCTGGCCTCACCTGCCAGATGCGCCTGAGGAAGGCGTAGGCCATGAGGCAGTGGTCCTCGTAGCCAGCCTCGCCTGGGGACGCTGTCAGGGCCAGCAGGGTGTAGGCGCGGGCCAGCGCTTCCAACTGCCTCACGTTTTGCAGCTTCTCCAAGGAGACTGTCCCTGCGTCCTCCGACACCGGACTCTCGGGAGCGAGTGTGGGCGAGTGCCCCCCTGCAACACAGGGTGCCCACAGACTCAGGAGTCCAGGGGCCTCAGCCACTTCTTCTCTGCCCTCCTCCCAGGCCCTCGGGGTCAGAGGGCAGCAGCCTGTCCCAGGCCCAGAGGTAGGGCGGGCGTCCTGTGGCTCTGGGGTCTGCTTGTGGTGGCTGGGAGCAAATGAACCGCCCCTCTGCGTGTCACCCTAGTTGGTCTGAGCAGTGTCTAGACTTGCCCAGATGGGGGCCGGCCTCCAGCACACGCAGACAGGAGGCTGCCCCTTTCGCGGGCCCTGAATCCCGCAGGCCCAGGACAGAGAGCCCTCCGTGCAGTGCTGCGAGAGGCTCCACTGGACCCGGGTGGCTGTCACAAGGCCTCTCCGGGGCCCAGCTCCTTCCTGGGGTAGGAGCGCTGTCGCTGGAGGCAGAAGAGGCAGCCCCGTGTAGTCCATGGAGACGTTGGGTCTGCAGGCGACTCTGCTGAGCCTCCGAGAGCCGTCTCCTGTTCCCTTTGGTCTGTGCGCCCCACAGAGCAGGCTCGTATGCCTGCAGGCAGCTCCTGGTCCCCCACCCCACCCCACAGAGGTCCCGTCTCCTGCAGGAAGGGTGACTGGTTACTCCGAAATGCTGCTCCCACCAGGACAGGTCCTCAGCCCGCTGCCTGGGCTCCTGCCAGGAGCTCGCAGTCCCTGGCTGCACAGCCCTCCATGTGGAGCGCCCACGGTTTGTAACCCACAGATTCTGGCAACAGGGAGGCTGGCCAGGCCCCTGCACCCCATTTACCAGTGCCCGCTCGGCCTGAACCCCACCTCTCGGGCCTGCACACACTGCCTACCGAGTGAGCTTTGGGGCAACCTGAGGTCAGAGGCTCAGAAGTCCTGGTCGGCTCCTGTGGCCTTGGAGGGTGGCCTGGGGTCGGTCCCATCGGTCAGAATGTGCCTCCCCTTCATCTCTGAAATGCCCACCCTCTGGACCAGAGCAGGTACAGCCGCTGGGGCCACCTGCGCCCAGGAGCCAACAGTGGTGAGTGATGCCTGCCCCGCCGTGTTGCCTCACCTGCTGGCTCAGGTGTGCCCCCAGCGGCTTTCATTCCCAGGAGGATGTCGATCGCCCAGTTCAGGTGGAAGGCCACATCCTCGATGGGGAACTGTCTGTGATACAGCCACTCGCTGAACTCCATGATGTAGTCAACTTTCTGCCACTCACTCTCTGGCTTCTGTGGATCCCACAGGAAAGGGGGGGTAAGGACGCCGCACTGACTAGTCGGCACCCTCAGACCTAGTGCTGAAGACACATCTACAACACGCAGCAGTGTGATTAGTCGGCTTTCTGGAAGCAAACGGGTTGTCTTCACCCTGTATTCATCCTAACGAGACCCCCTCACATGGGACATAAGCTGCCGTCTAGGCTTGCCAGGCCCTTCCGGGTGTGTGTAAAGGGTCTGTCCGCACATGCAGTGTGTGCGAGGCCAAAGCTTGACAAAATCTTTGCAGGTCTTCTGCTCGCTGTGGACACCTGCCAGCCTGCCCAGTCCTCAGACCCCGCATGTCCCGCCTGCCTCCTAGAGCAGGGCTCCCGGCCACACCAGCTCGCGTGGCTCCCTGCCCTCACCCTCCCCTCAGCACTGAAACGTGCACGTGAGCCTTCACTTGGGTGGTGTGCGATTAACTGAGCTCTGTAGGGCAGGGAACACGCTGCTCTGTCCAGCGTGCAGCCCACTGTCCAGTGCAGTAATCACAGGTCAGTGATCGCTGCGTGACAGGACGAGGCTGCTGCCCCCAGCCTCACAGAGCAGAGCCAGCCCAGTGCCCCACACACTCCATCCCGCACCTCACACCTGGGCAAGTGGGGGCAGAGCCTCCATCTGCACGGAGGGGAAGGCAGGAAGGAGGAGCTTACAGAGGGGTGTGAATCTGATTCTAGGAGCACGAGGCTAAGACACTGGCAGGATGGACAGGCAGCAGGACCCGCAAGGTCAGACTCAGTTGTAAGGATAATCGGCTGGAGGTGGAATTTAGCCCCAGATACCGACAGATCAGAAGGTGGGGGGAGAAGACGCAGAGGTGGGGGGACCTTAGTCCAGTGAAAGAAGTCCATCAGCATGAAGGGAAGGGTCAGGTGCCCTGTTGGGGGCCTCAGAGCGACCGTGGTGCTGGGTGGCCGTGATGAGAGGCTGCAAGAGGGCTGGTGGAGGGAGACCCAGTGGCGGGTCTCGGAGAGAAGGACCGTCCTTTCAACCGGCGGTGCCGGGAACGGAGGAGGGCCCACCTCACGCCAAGCACAGAAATGAACTGAAAGTGGACTGAAGACTTAAATGTGAGAGCTCAAACTATCTAAGTCTCAGGAGAAAACACAGCAGTGAATCGCGGTGATCTTGGATTACGCCGTAGAGCACCATAAGCACAAGCATCAAGAAAAGAGGCAGATAAACTGGTCAAAGCTAAACGTTTATACTACAAATGACATGAACAAGAGGGTGACAGAGGGGCTGAAAGACAGCCCACAGAACGAGAGAAACTGTTAACCAATCATGTATCTGATACAGGACTTGTCTCTAGCACTCAATGAACTCTGTGAGAAAGGACAATCAACCAAGTTTTAAAATCAGCAAAATCTGAGCAGACATTTCTCAACAGAGTATATATAAGTGGATGGTGGGCACGTGAAAAGAAGCTCGTCATCAGTCACGGGAAAAGCCCGACAAACCACCAGGAGGCAGCACTGTGCACTGGGACTGTGAGAACCAGTCAGAGAACAAAGCGTGGGCGGGCTGTGGGGGTGCAGACCGGCGCAGTGGGGGTACAGACCGGCGCAGTGGCTGCAGGGGACCACCTGGTGGTCCCTCAGAGTCACCACAGAGTCACCATGTGACCTAGCAGTTCCCCTCCGAGGTCTATGCCCAAGAGAAGTGTAAACACACATTCCTGCAAAACCCTGTGTGGTCACAGCCACGTCATGACACTGCAGCCCAGGGGGCGGTCCCGTCAGACCCAGAGGAGCTGGAAACTCCTGCTGCCTAATGACGTCAATGTATGACTCACGTGTGTGAGGTGCTGGTGTAAACACACCTACCGCGCTGCCCATGGTGTGAAGTGCGGCACCTACCGCCCTGCACAGTGCATGACACCTGCTGATAAACGACCAGGTCACTGGTTTACATGTTTACTGTACTTTCATCATTACTGCAGAGTGGACTCTCCTTGTAAGGAAAGCAACATGCCACTCACACATACACGTCGTGGCTACTTTGTGTTTTGATGGCATCGCTTTCTCTTGTGCAGGTTTAATGTCACGCTGTTTTGTACAGTGATGTGCTGTGCAGGCCGGTGGCCCAGGAACAGCGGGCTGTACCCAACTGCCTGGGTGCACAGTGGGCTGTGCTATCCACGCTTGTGGCAGTGCCTCTGTGATGCTCGCACGACGATGACATCGCTTCAGGATGCGTTCCTCAGAACGCGTCCTCGTCGGTACGCGGCCATGACTGCACACAAATATTTAGAGCAGCAGCATTCACAACAGCTAAGAAATGAAAACAAGGAAAGTGCCCACCAACAGAATGCCTGTCCACGCAGTAGGATGTGCTTGGCCATAAAAAGGAGCGAAGCAGACACGGCTACGACCTGATGAGCCTGGAAAACCCTAAGCGATTAATAAATGAAAGAAGCCAGACGCAAAGGACACGTCATATCTGATCCCGTTCCTGTGAAATGTCCAGAACAGACAAATCCACAGAGACAGACAGTAGGCTGGTGGCTCCCTGCAGCTCTGAGCTCTGAAGGTCCTGGGTGTTTGTGGGGTGATGAAAGGTTCTAAAATCAGCGGCACAGCCCTGTGGATTTATTAAAACACACTCTTACTGGGCCGGCCGAGTGGCGCGATGGTTGAGAGCTCGCTTGGGATGCCAGAGGGCCCCGGTTCAGATCCCACATATGAGGGCCAGTGACACTGCCCTCCGCAGCTAAGATGCTGAACAACAGCTCGACCTGGAGCTGGGCTGCCATGAGTCGCCGGCGACGGCGTAGGCTGCAGCCCCTGTGGCAGTGGGTTGTCATGGGCTACCGTGTGTGGCCAGCAGCCAGCGTGAGCGGCCAGCAGCCGGCGTGAGCGGCCAGCAGCCGCAGTGAGCGGCCGTCCAGAAGCCGGCGACTGATCTGCCTCGCCCGGGAAGAGCGCAATGATGGTGCCAACTTGGGCCAGTGAAGCAACGTCCTCCACAACTAGACTGAAGAACAAGACGACAGCGGCTAGTCTGTTCCCCTTCTCCCAATTCCCCCAGCACTGTTCCCATCCCCCCAATTCCCCAATAAAAAAAATCTTAAAAAAAAAAAAACACACCCTTACCCTCAGAAAAAAACAACAGAAGGGACTTGGGGGCAGCGAGGCAGCGCTTACAAGGAGCCTGCTGCAAACGGCAGGCCTGGCCGCTTCCCCTGGTGGAGGCGGGGTCCACTCTGCGGGGTCCCAGGGCACCCGGCCAGGCCTTCGCCACGGGCGGACTTGGCCTTTGGTTCCAGGAGAGGGCACAGGGGCGCCCACAGCCCCTGGAGCACTCTAACGCCCCAGGCAGGACCTGCTCCATGGGGCAGGGGGAGGCTTTCTGTTCAACAGAGAAGCCCTCCAGGCATCAGGTGCGGGTCTTTGGGGCGCCTCTAGTCCCCACAATTCAGGGCTTCCTTGGGCCTGAGGCAAGTGGACATGCTCCTGCCTCAACTCAGGGCGCCACCCTCCCTGAACTCCCCGTCACCTCAATTGCATCTAGCTGAATGTCTGTCTTGGTTTCCTGGGGTGAAGAATGTCCCAGACCCCAGATCCCAGGAGGCTGCAGGCCTTGGCTCCCCCTTTTCAGGGGGCTTCACGCCCTCTTCCCCTGCCCCCATGCTGAGACATGGGCGCCGGCTCCCACAAAGGACCTCGCCCTCCATGCTGGAAAAGGTGCCGCAGACAGGGGTCCGTGTGCTGCCCTCACCGCGTCAGGGCCCTCCAGTGGGCGCGCCTCACGCCACCCCGCGGGGTCACCTCTGTAAGTGGCCAGGGACCCACCTGTAAGGCCTGAATTGCGTTATGATAGCAGGTCAACTCCCCCGAGACGTTCTTGGAGTTGCAGGCCAGGCGGTGCCACATGTGCGCCAAGTAGTCCTCACTCTCGTCTTTGAATTTCTGTATCTCCATCGTGAAATTCTGGCCGAGTTTGGCCTTCACAATGACCATATGTTTGAAAATCAAGCTAAAGAAAAGCGAAAGAGGAATTCATTCTTGAGTCGAATAATAAGAAATATAAATACATATAATGCATCCAAAACTACAGTATTTGTTCATTTCCCTACTTACCAAGATAAAACAAAATAACCTGAGTTATTAAGTTGATGCAAACGTAATTGCGGTTTTTGCATTGTTGAAATTTGCCTTTGATACTGGAATACAGTCTTAAATAAACGTGGTTATGTTATACATCATTTTAATGCATATTTCTTGCTTTATGTTTTTTGCTAATGACTTATTACTTGGTGTTTATTTTATATATATTTTAGACTATGGAAATGATGTTAGACAAAAAGCAAATTTGAGCGATTTTCTTTCTTTTTTTTTTAAAGATTTTATTGAGGAATTGGGGAAGGGGAACAGTGTTGGGGAATTGGGGAAGGGGAACAGCCGAGTTGTTGTCCTTCAGTCTTAGTTGTGGAGGGCGCAGCTAGCTCAGCTCCAAGTCCAGTTGCCATCTGGCCGCTCCTTGGCAGCTCACGGCTGCTCAGCTTAAGGTGCCATGTTCAATCTTAGTTGCGGGTAAGCGTAGCCACCATCCCATGTGGAGTCCAACTGGAAACCTTGTTAGGAGCACCCGTTCTCACCAGCTGAGCCATCCTGCCATCTGTTGGCAGCTCAATGGCAGCTCAGCTCGGGCCAGGCTCACTGGCCCATGTGGGTATCAAACCGGTGGCCCTGTTGCTCAGAGCTGGCGCGCTTAACCAACTGAGCCACTCGGCCAGCCCTCTAGCAATTTTCTTATTCGAGTTCAAAATAGGTCGTAAAGCAGCGGAGACAACTCGCAACATCAACAACGCATTTGGCCCAAGAACTGCGAACGAACGTACAGTGTAGTGATGGTGGTTCAAGAAGTTTTGCAAAGGAGATGAGAGCCTTTAAGATGAGGAACGTAGTGGCCGGCTAGTGGACCAACTGAGAGCAATCATCGAAGCTGATTCTCTTACAATTACACACTGAGAAGAACTCAATGTTGACCATTCAACGGTCATTTGGCATTTGAAGCAAATTGGAAAGGTAAAAAAGCTCGATAAAGGGGTGCCTCATGAGCTGACCGCAAATCAAAAAAATCATCGTTCTGAAGTGTCATCTCTTATTCTACGCAACAATAATGACCATTTCTCGATCGGATTTTGACATGCAATGAAAGTGGATTTTATATGATAACTGGCGATGACCAGCTCAGTGGTTGGACCTAGAAGAAGCTCCAAAGCACTTCCCAAAGCCACACTTACACCTAAAAAGGGTCTTGGGCTCTGTTTGGTGGTCTGCTGCTGGTCTGATCCATACAGCTTTCTGAACCCGGGTGAAACCATTACATCTGAGTATGCTCAGCAAGTTGATGAGATGCACCAAAAACTGCAACGCCTGCAGCCGGCGTTGGTCAACAGAAAGGGCTCAGTTCTTCTCCATGTCAACGCCCGACCACATGTCGCACAACCAATGCGTCAAAAGTTGAACGAATTGGGCTATGAAGTTTTGCCTCATCCTCCATATTCACCTGACCTCTCGCCAACCGACTACCGCTTCTTCAAGCATCTCGACAACTTCCTGCAGGGAAAACACTTCCACAACCAGCAAGATGCAGAAAATACTTTCCAAGAGTTTGTCAAAACTCAAAGCACGGATTTTTACACTACAGGAATAAACAAACCTGTTTCTCGGCAAAAATATGTTGATTGTAATGGTTCCTATTTTGCTTAATCAAGATGTGTTTGAGCCTAGTTATGATGATTTAAAATTCACCGTCTGAAACCGCAATTACTTTGCACCGACCTAATTAATACTTGGGCTTTCTGTGTTGGGTCCTACTTTTAATATTTATTTTTTCATTTATTATTGGTGTGTGTGCGCTTTAATAACCCTGCCCTCCTGGGCTGAGTTCCCGGTGGGGAGGCCATCAGTACAGATGGGAAGGTGGGGTAGGCCCTGGTGGCGCAAGGAATGAGCAGGCACTGGGGGACAGCAGGGGGCGCTCTGGGAGGGGTGCTGACGGGCTGGGTGGGCGGGTCCTTGTGGGCGGGGCCAAGGCAGGGGGCGGGGCCCGGGCCGACACTCACAGGCGGTGCACCGTCCGAGGCAGCACCTGTGCCGCCTCGCCCAGCACCTTGAGGCCGCCCTCCCAGTCACTGAGGTCAGCGTGGCAGTGGAAGAGCGCCCCGTAGAGCGCAGCCCGCAGTGTCAGGTCATCCTCAGCCTCTGCGGAGACAAGGGGTCAGGGTGCCAGACGTGCTCCGCCTCCACCCCACCCTGCAGGCCACACGCCCAGGGACAGCAGTGTCGCAGGGAGCCAAGCCCCGGGGTGCACTGCCCCTGCTGCACGCAGACCCCATTCTGACCGCTGTGACTATGCGCGCATTGCCGAAATTAATCACTTAGCTGCCAAGTTTGAGGCAAATGTTCCCCCAGTGTTTACGTTTTAATGTTATGCATGTCTCATTATATGCATTGAATTCTCACAATTTGCAAGTTAGCCTCTGTGATCACTTTATGTTTAGGAAACAACCTTCCCAGAAAAATCGCTGCTATGCTCAATTCTACTTTCTGATTTCTTCCAAGAATTTGAATTTTAAAACGACGACACTATTTAGGCCACATGATGCTCATTTCAGCACGTGGAGTGTGGTGTGTGGGGGCTGGACTCCCGTGCCCTCCCCATCTGCCATCCAGGGACCAGGCAGCCGGACTCCTGTCCAGGGTCCGCTCCTGCCACGTCTGGGACGCTCTGGGTCCCACATGGCTGCCACCGGCAACTTTCTTTGCTGCAGCAGTAAACCATGTCAACGGTTGGGATTTCGTACCAATCTTTACACATGGTCATCTTTCTGTTATTTGAAATCAAGTTTCTCTCTCTAAATAAGACTGGGCATCCTGGAGGGTGGGACACTGCTCCACGCAACACACGCACACTCCTCAGCACACACTGGGACGGTGAATTCTAGTGGATAATTGTCATTTTTCCTTAAACATGGATTATAAAATGTGGTTTTAATTGTTCTAAGATCAGTACTTCTCAGGAGTACACCTTCACATCTTTGAAGTAGAACACGATTTGTCTGTCAGGATAACCCGAGGCTAGATTTCAAGGCAGCCACTACAAGTCTGAGCGCACGGGCTCTGGGCCCAGGCGGCCTGGGAGCAGCCGTGATACCTGGACAAGGGGACCGTCTGGGCCCTGGCTTCCTTGGGCAACAATGGGGATCACATGGAGGGGTTCATGAGAGGCACTCACAGTGCCCGTCACGCCCTGCACACTCAGATATCACCTGCAGTTTCTGTCACGACCACGTGGACTTTGCACAGGGTGCACGGACCTAAAGCCCCAAGTCCTGCCCTCTACCTGCCTGTGGCCTTGTCTGTCACATCTACAAACCTGGGAGGAAAGACCCATCAGTGGCTCCTCCGTTCTGGAAGTCCGCTGTTGGCCACTGATGCAGAAGCTGCACGTTTCCTTTTTCCTAAAGAAGAAACAAGCAATGTAGACATCAGAAAGTTGCAATTTATTCTTTCACTATTTTTTTTCATTTGGCTCAGTACCTAATTATAGAAATTTCAGCTAAATTTCCAAAATACTAAGTCACAAAAAGTGATGTCACATTTCACCCATAAGAAACGGCTCTCTGGTGCAAGGACAGCCACCTGAGAGCACACAGACCATAAACAGCTACAGCTTTTTCAATGGCAAAGCATCCAAGTCAGTTTGGTAGTTTCACATCAGTGTAGTCAAAAGCGCATTAGGAAAAATGAAAAGAGTGCAGCAAAAGCAGTGCTCAGAGGGACGTGCACAGCTGCACATGCCTACACTGAAGAAGAAGAAGAAAGATCTCAGATCAACAACCAAACTTTACACCTTAAGGAACTAGAAAAACAACAAACTAAACCCAAAGCAGCAGAAAGAAAGAAGTAATACAAATTAGAGCAAATATAGAACAGAAAAACAATAAAGAAAATCAATGTAACAAAAAGTTGGCTCTTTGAAAAGATCAGCAAAACTGGCAAACTTTTAGCTAGACTGACGAGAGAGAGAGAGAGACATAACTAAACTCAGAAACAAAAGTGAGAACATTCTGACCAAGCCTAGAGAGGCAAAAAGGATTGTTAAGACAATCCTATGACTGTTTGTATGCCAACAAATTAGATAATGTAGAAGAAATGAAAACATCCCAGAAAACATATAAATTACCTAAGCTGACTCAAGAAAAAACGGAAAATCACAACAAACTTCTAACAAGTACGGAATGAATAAGTAGTCAGAAATCTCCCAAAAAAGCAAAGTCCTGGACCAAATGGCTTCACCAGGGAGTTCCATCAAACATTTAAAGACTTGACATTAATCCTCTTCAGCTCTTGAAAAAACTGAAGAGGAAGAAACACTTCCTGACTCATTCTATGAGACCAGCATGACTTTGATAGCAAAACCAGATAAAGACTCCACAAGAAAAACAAATTACAGACCAATGTCCTTTATGAATATAGACGCAAAAATCCTCAACAAATACTAGCAAATCAAATTCAACAGCATAATAAAAATATTATACACCATGACCAAGTGGGATTTGTCCCAAGAATACAAGGGTGGTTCAACATAAGAAGATCCATCAACATGATACATCACAGTAACAGAATGAAGGAGAAAACCATATGATCATCTCAGTCAATCGAAAAAAGGTATGTGACAAACTCTAACCTTTCATCATAAACAGTAGGAAGAGTGGGAGGCTTCCCCAGCACAGTAAAGCGCATTGATGACAAACCCACAGCTGACATCACAGATGGTGAAAGACTAAAGTTTTCCTCTACGATCAGGAACAACGCACGGATGCCCGCTCTCACCACTGCTGGTCAACATCGTACTGGAAGCTTTAGCCAGGGCTATTGGACAAGAAAAAGAAATAAAAACACCCAAATAGGAAAGGAGGAGGTAAATCTATCTCTATTCAATGGTGACATGATCTTATATATCGAAAATCCCAAAGAATCCACAAGAAACTTGAGCTGATGAATGAATTCAGCAAAGCTACAGGACACAAGGTCAACAAACAACAATTAGCGTGTTTCCACATATCAGCAACGAACAATCCATAAGGAAAGTAGCAAAGTGCTACGGGCCCGGGCCCCCTCCCTGCAGTTCCTGTGTGGAAGCCCTAATGCCCAATGGAATGCTCTTTGGAGAAGAGTCTTTAGGAGGTGATTAGGGTCAGATGAGGCCATCAGAGTGGGGTCCTCATGATGGGATTCGTGCCCTGTATGAAGAGACAGCAGGCAGCTTGATCCCTCTCCCCACAGCCCATCACATGAGGACAGAGCAAGAAGGCACATGTCTGTAAGCCAGGACAAGGGCCTTTACCAGACCCTGGCTCCCTAGCCTTGGACTCCAGCCTCCAGAACTGTGAGAAACACATTTTTGCTATTTAAGCCCCCAGTTCATGATTTTGTTATAGAACCTGAGCTAACTAAGACGAAAAGCAATTCCATTTACAATAGCACCTAAAAGCATTAAATACTTCCAAACAGGTGAAAGGCATGTGTTGGAAACTATAAAACATTGCCAAAAGAAATCAAAGGAGATCTAAATAAATGGGAGGACATCCCCTGTCTGTGGAGAGGAAGCCTTAACACTCCCTCTCAAAGTTACAACAGCGTTTTTCAAAGAAATGAAAAAAGCCAAACCTCAGAATGATACGAAATTGCAAAGGAACCCAATGAGTCAAAACAATTTTTAAAACAAAGAATAAAGCTGGAGGATTCACAATTCCTGACTCTTAAATTTACCGCAGAGGGGCAGTCATCAAAATAGTGGTGCTGGCATAAGGACGGACATGGACGAGAGAGCCCGGAAGAAGTGCTTGCATCCATGGTGAGATGGCTTCTGACAAGGGAGCCAAGGCCATCCAGCGGGGAAAGGACCGTCTCTTCAACCAGTGGTGCTGGGACAGCTGGATGTCCCCATGCAGATGAATGAAACTGGACCCTGAGCTTACACCACATACTAAAGTTAACTCAAAATGGGGGGAAAAAAGCCAAACATAAAAATTATAAAACACTTAGAAGAAAACATTGGAAAAAATCTTAGTGCCACTGTATTTGGCTATGACACCAAAAATACAGGCAACAAAAGAAAAGATAGTTGAATTTCATCAAAGTTAAAAACTTTGTGTATCAAAGGATATTATCATAGGAGTGAAACAGCAGCCAAATGAATGGGAGAAGAAAACCTGCCAATCACATATCTGATAAGGAATTAATGTCCAGAATATATAGAGAACTCCTATAATTAAACAACAACCAAACAAACTGGTTCAAAAATAGGCAAAAGACTTGAATAGACATTTCTCCAGAGAAAATACACAGATGGCTAACAAGCACATGGAAACACGCTCCACATCAACAGTCACTGTAGAAAAGCAAATGAAAACCACAATGATACCACTTCACACCTACTAGGACGGCTACAATTAAAAAAATGGAAAATAACTAGTGTTGACAAGGATGCAGAAAAATGGAAGAGCCCAGAACCACCATATAACCCACCGCCCCACTCTTAGGTCTTCACCGCAAAGACTGACGGCAGCGACACACAGATGTGTCTGCACACCGTTAGTCACAATAATCAGAAGGGGGACCAACCCTTGTCCGTAACAGATGATGGACACACACAGTGTGTGCCACCCGTGCCGTGGAATACAGCCAGTCATAAAAAGGAAGGACATTCTGACACCTGCCACAACGTGGATAAAAATGTCAGCTGAGTGAGATGTGCCAGAGAAGTCACTTTCAGAGAGACAGAGAGGCGAGCAGATGTCATCAGGGGCTCGTCACTGTTTAATGAGGACAGTTTTGTTGGGATGATGAAAAGCTTTAGGTGTTTGCAGTGATGAGGCCACACAACATTGTGAATATAATTAATGTCACTGAATTCTACACTTAAATGGTTAGAACGATATTATATTATGTATATTGTACCACAATTTGAAAAACACATTAGGAAGAACTGAACTTTTGGTAAGTTTTACAAATGCCTAGACTAGGACTTGGCAAGTTTTTTCTAAAGTACCAAATAGTGAATACTTGTGGCTTTGCGGGCCACAAGCTCTGTCACAATTACGCTGCTCTGTAACGGAATAGGCACGGATGTGCTCCAATAAAACTTTATTTACAAAAACAGGAAGAGGGCTGTCCTTGGACCCTGGCGTGGTGTGTCCACCCCTGGCCTAGACGACTACAGGTCATAAATACCTTGTTAAGAAAATAGGAAGCGTCACCAATTCTTATACGAGACTGTGATTTTCAATTCTCATTGCTGTCTCTTGAACAGCAGGCTCCCCGGCCAGGGACGGCAGGGAAGGTCACACGTGGCGGTGGGCCCTCCCGGCTCCCTGATCTCGCCCTGTCCCGGCCAGGCCCCCCATGGCTCATCTGGTCTCTGAGGGTTTTGCTGGTCCTGGCCCCACCCCCCAGAAGCCCGGCCTAGGGGCTCTGCCCTCGGCCCTCTGCCTGCCACAGCCTTCGACCTGCAGGCCTTCCCTTCATCAGGGCCCTGCCGGCTGGGGCTCCACGGCAGCACGTGCTTGGCCCTGCTGGGTGGACAGGAAAGGTGTGGAGGTCCACGGGAGGCCAAGGCCTGGCCGGGAAGCCGCAGGAGGCCACGGACATGCGGTCAGCTGGAGGGAGGGAGGCCCCGGGCGCCCTGGGGGCCAGCCAGGGACGTTCCCTCTCCCAAGACCACGCTCGCTAGGGCTGGGGTGGGGCGGGGAGGAAGCCAGCCTGGCCAAGACCTGCCTGGCCCTGGGGTGCGTCTCGCCAGCGGCCTCTGTGCTTTTCTCCAGCGGCCTGACTCTGGATCTGCCCCCCCCTCTTCCTCCGCTCCCCCCCACTGGCGCTTTCCCGCGTGGGTTACGGTTCTCCTGGAGGGGACGTAAGGGTCAGAGCTAAGGCTGAGCTCGGCCAGGAGCCGCCCCTCTGCAGGCCGGCATCTCCCTGTGTGAGCAGTCCCAGGGGTCTGTCTTTCCTTGGGACCCTCGCCCACCTTTCTTAGAGCAGCCAAGGGACCCAGGACGCCTGCCCCTCCGGCGCACCTGCTTTTTCGCTTCCGTCTTGTTGATGATGCTGACGATCCTCTGGATGGTGCTCC